GTCAGGGGGAGGCTCATGGTGGGGCTGGAGGAGCTGCAGGGGCTTTTCCAACCCAGATGATTCTGGGATTCTGTGAAGAGTGAGATGTCTGGGGAATGGAGTGACTATCGCTGGGTGGATCTGTGTGTCTTTCTACACGCCTGTTTCCAGCCTTCTCCAAAATTCCTCTTGGCCCCTGCGTGCTGGGTCAGGTCCCCCTCTCACTGCTCAGCACCCTCCAGCAAGCTCCACCTAACCCAACCACACGCCTCAGCATCTCCCCCTGCTCGCTCCTCCTTCACTTATTGTCCTCGCATCTCCCTAATTATTCCAGTTGCCTTCCTAATAAGTTACACCACGCATATGTCAAGAGCAATGGATTGAAGGTAATGCACATCAGTCACTGGCTCTGCACAGATGACTGGAGTAATCCTGCAACCGGTTAGATCTGTCACGACCGAAATGAGCTGACCTGCTGAAACCTGCTCAGCGCCGCGGAAATGCCACCTTGTGCTGAGAGTAATCGGGAGCAGTGAGTTATGGCTCTTGGGTGGTTAAAGCTGTATCGGGCACACTTCTCTCACCCTTTCTGCTCCACCTTCCCCCAGGCTGGCTTGGGGAAGCCGGTTTGCGGCGCTGGTGGGGTCTGCACCCTGTGGGGTGGTGGGGAGGGTGGGGGGTGCACCACTGATGGGGTGTACACGTGGAGTGGGTCAGGGATCCCCCCCACCAGATGCAAAGTGAGAAGAATTACCCCAGGGCGTGGTTTGGTGCTGGAGTGGGACGTGTGGAGACGCTCTGTACTTGGAGGGATAATTCGGCGTGTGGTGGGAGGCGTGGAGAAGGAAGGAGAGACACGGGGTGGTTATTGTGCACAGGAAGATGCAGTTTTCTTGCCTAGAGCAATGGCTGCACTCTTGGCCAGAGCCGGGGAGCCCTCACCACTGCTCCTGCCCAGTCCTGCGCTGCCGGGTAGCCCGGTGCTTTCCCAAAGCCCCTCGGCCGGGGTGCTGAGACCAGAGCCCTGGGTGGCGCAGCTGGAGGGGTGTTTGGCGCTGCGAAAAACAACTCCTTGGCTTGGGATTTCAGTGGCCCTGAAAGGACAGGAGCCTCTCCTTTGTATCCTCATGCTGAGGCTCTGCAGCAGCAGCTCAAAGCCAGGGGCCAGTGGCCACCACCTGGATTTACTCCAGGACAGGGTCGCCCTCTGCCAGCGTCCAGCAGATACCCCGAGAGTGGAGCAGAATTTCAGGATTAAGAAAAGTGAAAGATTGCCATCATATTCGTCGAGGGCGCATGCCCAGAACAGGGAATGAGGAGAACCTGACTGGTTTGGGATTCCAAGGCAGCTCTGCCATCGGTCCTGGGCTGCTAAGACCCTGCCACTGGTCCCTGGGGCCACCCTCCCCGGGGCCACCCATACTGCGTGGCTGGCCTGCACATCCTCAAGCCCCAACACCTCGTTAGCTGATTACCCGATGGTGAATCCCACCAGGTCCCGAACCCCCCGTCCTCCTCGGGCAGCAGTGGCAGTGAGGATGCTGAGCATCCCTGCCCCAGCACCGCATCCCTGCATCACAGCAGTACCTCTTCCCCGCAGCAAATGCTCAGGTGGGAGCAGGAGCAGGACACTAATGAGGGCACTAACGAGGGTGCTAATGAGGGCACCTAACGAGGACACTGAGCAGGGACAGCTCGTGGACCTGCTCACCCCTAACACGATCCCACAGCCGACACGGAGCGTCACAACAGGCAGCGCCAGCGAGGAGACGGCTGTTTATTTTCAGATTATTGGAAAAGGCTACACTGGTCAAATAAATGATTTCGTTGTAACTATTTATTCAGCTCTATTCCCTGTCTACAGGCATCTTCATTTGCTCTCAGCACAGGCATCAACCTTCTCCTTGCCAAGTGTTAGCACCGGGCAAATACCCTCTGCATCGATGGCTGGGGCTGGGGAAAGCGAGCTGCCGGCTGAGGAAAATTTGTTTTAAACCCTCGTTCTCCATTCTGCCCACCCCTGTGTTCCCGGCAGGGCAGAGTGAAGGGGATCGGTTATTTTACCACGTAACTCATCTGGTTTCGGAGCTGCTTTGCTCGGTTTTAAGGCTGGTGGGAAGGAAGAGGACGGAGAGAAGGAGCCTCAGTGCAGAGCCCCAGTGTCCTTTCTATCTGTAGTGGGTGTTTCTGGGCTTCACCTTTTTTATTTCCTTTTTTTTTTTTTTTTTCTTTTTTTTGCAGGACGTACCCAGAGCACGTGTGTTTCTAACGCAGACAAACAGGGCACGTTGCTGCTCATTCCTACTGAGGGAAAAACCCAAAGAGGGGGGCATTGGGAATCAGTGGGCTCAGCCCTGGCTGATTCTTACCCCACTCTCCTTTACCCTCTCCCCAGCAAGATACATCGGCTGCTACGTGGACAACACTCGCCGGCGAACGCTGCGCGGCGTGTCCTTCTTCGACTACAAGAAGATGACAGTCTTCCGTTGCCAGGACAACTGTGCCGAACGGTAGGGCGGGAGACGGGCACCGTGTCTCCATCAATTCCCACACACACACACACACACGCCAGCGTTTCTCTGCTGCCACAGTTCCCTGCCCTGGCTGCTCCCTTCCCCTTCCTCTCGCCTTCCTTCTGTTTTATTTAGATTTATGTTATTTTTTTTTTTTCAATTTACTGGTGTTTTCCAGGACCCCCAGAAAAAGGTCAGGGGGGATGATGGGTTCCATCCTCGTGCAGGGCAGCGGGGTGTCAGGGCTCTGTTTTGGTGCTGAGGGAGCCTTGAGCGCTCCCACCCAGGGCTGGCCCCACCAAAACGCCCTCCCCAGACCTTCCCAGCTGTCAAAGTGCCTCCGCGAGCAGCTGGGGAGACAAACGGATTCCTTGCTGCAGAATTTTCTCTTTTTCCCAGCGTCACACGAAGGATGTGCCCTAGACGTGGTCTGTGCCGGCGGGAGCGGGCGGCACTTTGCTGCCTCCAAACTCCCTCAGAGCCGAAGCCCGTCTGCGCCGCATCCCGTGGCACGGGGGGACGTTGCTGCAAAGGGCCGTCACCGGTCACTGGGGCAGTGGCACGTCCCCACGCAGGGCTCACCCACCTCAGCAAGACGCTCGCCGTGAGCCGAACCAACGGCTGTGCTGACACGGGGCTGCTCCACGCCAGAGTCCCCCCCTCCCCGCAGCACCAGCACTGCCCCTTTCCAGCGCGTTTCCAGCTCAGCTGGCACTTGGCAGGCACCTGCCCGTGCTGCAATCCCCCCGCTTCCAGATCCAGTCTGTAGCAAACAGCACAGCTCCCCCGCTTTGAAGCCCAGCAAAGCCCCTGTCACTTCTTCCTGCTCTGCCACCACCCGTTACATCCTCCCTACCTGTAGGAAATGTCGCTGTTTCGTGCTTCATGATCTCTGCGGCCTGTGGAGCCCCTTCCCTTGGACTGGACTGGACTAGAATAGAAAATAAACTAGACTAGACTAGACTAGAATGGAATAGGAATAGACTAGACTAGACTAGAATGGAACAGGACTAGACTAGATGACTGGAATAGGAATAGACTAGACTAGACTAGAATAGAATGGAACAGGACTAGACTAGACGAATGGAATAGGAAGAGACTAGACTAGAATAGAATAGAATGGAACAGGACTAGACTAGACTAGAATGGAATAGGAAGAGACTAGACTAGAATAGACTAGAATAGAATGGAACAGGACTAGACTAGACTACAATGGAATAGGAATAGACTAGACTAGAATGGAACAGGACTAGACTAGACTACAATGGAATAGGAAGAGACTAGACTAGACTAGACTAGAATGGAACAGGACTAGACTAGACTAGAATGGAATAGGAATAGACTAGACTAAAATGGAACGAAACAGAATGAAAGGGACTGGACTAGAACTAGACTGGACTAGACTAGACCAGACTATTTTCAGTTGGAAGGGACCTGCAATGATCATCTTGTCCAACAACGCACCCTTGGGATGCAGTGCTGCTTCCAGCGCCGGGTGGGAGTTTCCTGCAGCAGGGACGCTCCTGTGAAACCCCACGGAGCCGGGGGGGTGCCTGGGGACGTGCTGAGCACCCCTCTGTCTCCCTCTCCCGGCAGGGGTTACCTCTATGCGGGGCTGGAATTCGGCGCCGAGTGCTACTGCGGGCACAAGGTCCAGGCACCGAACGCCAGCGAGTCCGAGTGCAACATGGTGTGCAAGGGGGAGCGGAGCAACGTCTGCGGCGGGGTCAACCGCCTCTCCATCTACCGCCTGGAGCTGGCCCAGGAGTCGGCCCGGAGATGTAAGTTGGCGGCATCGGTGCGGCTCCCGGCTCAGCCCCAAATTAGGGGAACCCCTGATGGTGCTGCTGGGGGGGGGTCCCTGGCATCCCCGTGCTGCGTCAGCCAGGTCATGGCTCAAGAGAGGCGGTTTGGAGGCGGTTCAGGTCTGTGACTGGGGTAGTTTTGCACCTGCAAATGGTGGGGAACCCCCTGCGGGGATGACTGCTGGGTGAGGCAGGGAGCCCCAAGGACCTGAACTCCTGTTCAGGGCATTTTGGGGGACTTTGGATGAAGAACTCTTTCCTGATGGCCAGACGGGACCATCATCGTATTCAGAGCTGGCTGCAGGCTGAGGACGTGCGGGAGCTCCAGGAAGAGCCGAGGGTTCTCCTCGTCAGAAGAGCTCGTTTGGCTCCCAATTAGGCAGCACTATAATTACCCACACTTGCTGCTTTTCTTTCCTCATCCCCAGGCGATGGGAAGGAAGGTGGCAGCTCTCAGAGCTCCCACCGCCAGGCGCTGCTGGAGTGACCGCCCTGGGGAGGGGCTGAGGGTGCCCGGGTACATGCAGTGGTGGGCGAGGACCTGGGATGGGACCCCCTGGGGTACCGGTGCTGGTGTGGGGGGGACCAGGCCAGTCCCAGCTCTGCTCTCCTCGCCGGCTCCATTGCTCATACAGTCTGGGATCAATGACTTGATAAAAATAGGGAGGAAAAAAATAAACTCGACTTTGCTTTTGCTCTGATTTTGCACCGCAAGCAGCCGAGCGAGCGGCTGGGAGCGTGATGGGGCTCCCACGGCCCATCGCGTCTGCCCTTGTTTTGGCATGGCTAAAAATGACTCAGATTTGTCAGCAAACGTGGCTTCACAGCCGGAGGGTGACGAGAGCTGGAGCAAAGCAGCCGCTGTGCTGATGGGTGGCTGAAGAGGAGCGGTGGGAGACAGGGACGGGGATGCTGGCGCATGCAGAGGCTCTTGCTCCCAAGCCTGGGGCGCACGGGCTGGCACTGGCATCGTTTTTGGGGTGCAGCCCCGGCTCCTCGTGGCCGGGTCAGCATCGCTCCCAGCCCCGTGGCGGCCTCTCTCCCCCACAGATGGCAGTGCAATATTTCGGGGGTGCTTCCACCGGCCGAACAACATCTCCATCGCCTTACCCGTCAGCCAGCTCATGCTGAACATGTCAGTGGACAAGTGCGTGGATTTCTGCACCGAGAAGGTACCCGGGGTCCAGGGGGGGTGCAGGTGGAAAACTTAATTACCTAAATCATCATCAGAAAGGGTCACACTGGCCCTGCTCTGCTCCAGGGATGCTGCGATGCCGTTTGCTCCTGGGGCGCGATGCCTGTACGCAGGAAGGGAAAGGCTGGCAGTGGGCATTGCTGGGTATTTATTAATTAAAATTAAGTAAATGGTAAGGCAGAGGAAGAGAAAGACCTGCAGGTGTGGACAGTCCTGTTCTCCCTTCATGGCCTCCCGAGAAGGGGAAGGTGGGGAATAAGCAATCCCACCAGCTCCATCGCTGGCTCCACTTTCCCATCAGTGCTGGGAGGTGGAAATAACCACAGCGCCTCGATTAACCCGGCGCTGCCGCAGCCCGGCAATCCATCACGTCAGCCACCGAATGGGCCTCGTGACTCCGGGCTTGGACATGCGGGTGAGGCCACCACGGGGTCATCCGTGGGCTCCGAGTGACCTCGTTGCGGGTGGCAAACTCACAAATGACGGTGCCACGGCTCTGCTGGGAGCACCAGCACTGCCGGCTGCTTGGCTGTGCCACGGATAAGTTCGGGGCTCGGGTGGTTTTGGGTGTCTGCAACGAGCTGCTTGTGCAACCGGGGCCGGGGCGGTGAGGATGAGTGCGGGGGGCAGAGGAAGGGGCTGAGGGGGCTGAGGCCAGTGCTGCTGGCTGCCCTCCCTCCGCCCGTCCCCGCAGGAGTACCCGCTGTCTGCCCTGGCCGGGACCGCCTGCCGCTGCGGCTTCCCCACCACGCTCTTCACCCTGCACGAGCGCGAGGACGAGCAGCTCTGCGCCCAGAAATGCGCCGGCGAGGAGTTCGAGAGCTGCGGCACTGCTGAATACCTCCTCGTCTACCAGACCCAGGTGCAAGGTGAGCTGGCGCTGGGCTTTGAGCTGGCGCTGGGCTTCGAGCTGGCGCTGGGCTTCGAGCTGGCGCTGGGCTTGCCCTACCTGCTGCCAGGCAAGGGGACAGGCAGGGACCCCTCCAACCTGGGCACTGGCACCAGTTTCCCATCCCCTTCCCAGGCACACCAACAGAAAGTGAGTGTGAGCTTGCAGCATCTAGTTGGCTTTCATTAAAAATTACCATTTATTTTAATTTCCTGGGAAATCAGTCCTCCCCTGAACAAACAGCTTTAATTACTGCCTGACTCAGCGGCAGGAGAGAGCGCTTTGCCATCTGCCTCTGGCAGCATCCCTCCCTGCGGGTGCTTGTCCCTCCTTGTCACTGGCAGTACCGGCAAGCCAGAGCCTACGGTCGGCCAGTGAACCCGCTGGGGCTTTGCTAGCCAGAGGGGACAGGTTCTGGGAAAAAAAAAATATGGGAGAAAATACCTGTCACCAGGCAAAAAGTCCCCGGGAAGCTGCACGGAGAGGGCTCCTGTCCCCCCCCTGCCCTGCAGTGGTGGGACCAGTGGGGAAAGGGAAGCACAGGGCAAGGGGGAAACCTGTGACTGGGAGAGGAAAGGGCTGAACGGAGCAACTGAGCTCCCAAATTCAGGTGGTTTCACTTCAGAGCGGCTCAGTCTCAACACGATTCCTGCTTCGGCGGTTGAGGTGGCGCTGGAAACTCTTGTCCGTTTGTTGATATAAAAAGCAGGAGCGTTGCTTGGCAAATGCACCCGTGTTACTCACGCTCCCCTAATCACGCAGGCAGCTGGTAACGGCAAAACACCTCCTGCCCTCTTCTGAGGAATTTTTTTGGGGTGTTTAAGACTCTTTGGGGTGTCCCTACGTGCCTTAGGCAGGGCGCCTTTCCCTATAGTGGCCACCTCCTCGCACCCTGCCCCAGCACCTTCCCGGGAGACAGCATCGCGCTGCGAGGACGCGGGAAAGCTCTGTGGGCAAAGCACGTTCCTGTGCCGCAGCCCTGACGTGTCTTGGCTGGTTCTCGCTGCAGACAACCGCTGCATGGACCGGAGGTTTCTCCCCACCCGTGCCAAGCAGCTGGTGGCCCTGGCCAGCTTCCCCGGTGCCGGCAACACCTGGGCTCGCCACCTGATCGAGCTGGCCACCGGCTTCTACACCGGCAGCTACTACTTTGATGGGTCTCTCTACAACAAAGGTGAGATGGGGGCTCGTTGCTGGGGGTGCACCAGTCCCACCTGAGCCGGGAGAAGGTCCCGGTGCCGTCCCTTGGGTCTGCAGGAAGGGGGGGGGGGCAGAGGCGGGTGCCACCGATGCTGCTGCGTGGGACGGTTTGGGCATCGCGTGTGCCCTGCCCATAGCATCCCTGTGCTGCCCACTAACCTTGCCCAGGACTGATTTGGGGAGGAACTGGGTTTTCTCCATCACACGGGTGGTTTTTAACCCGCCACGGGGGTTGGAATTTTCTAGAGGAGGAAGCGGAGCAGCTCCAGCCGTGGCAAACAAAGCAGTTCCTGGGCTTTTTTCCCCCAAGAAAAGGCCAACTGTGGTTTTTTGATCAGATTTCCCCACGAGCTTGGCACTCTTGTCTCGGGATGCATAAATTAAGAAGCAAAAGAAAGCCACAGCTGTGTGGTGAGGAGGACTCGCGCAGCCTTCCAGCTTCGGGATTTGGGAGCGGGTGGTGCTGGTGGCACCAGTATCCTGGAGGACAAATGTCCCCACGTGCTTCCCAAGTAGCTGCAGATAAAAATAACAACATGTGTCAGCACCCGGGGAACACCGACACCCAAATTAACGAATGTTCACAGCTCAAAAAAAGCTCCGATGAGCTCATGGGGTGGGGTGGAGGAGGGAGCTGATCTCATCTGCCTGTTCTCCTTGGGCTGAAGGGTTTGCTGGAGATTCATCTTCCCGTCCTGAGTGACACAGGTGTTTGCCCAGTGAATATTTAACGGAGGAGGAATGCTGTTGTTCCCTCTGGGGCAAAGCAGCAGTGCGCTGCCCACCGTGTTGGCGCCAGGGCCGATAGCACGTGGGCTTTGGGGACCCTGAATTAAGCAGCGAGGATGAGTGTCAAGCCAAAAAAAAAAGCTTGAGGCGGGCATGAAGCTTTTCCAGGCAGAAGCCAGCTCCTCCCAATAACCCACCAGATTGCAAAGGGGAGAGAAAACACCAGTTCTCCCCATTTTATAGCCATTTACAATAGTTTTATTTGTAGATCCTGAAGGTTTCTCCTGCTTTTCCTTCCCCTTTTTGTGGCTTTGGAGAGGAAATCCTCCTTCCCTCCTCGGCCGTGGTGGCGCTGGGCTCTGTACCTGGGGTACCCCCATCGCTGGTGGGGTCTGTACCTGGGGTACCTGTGCAGCCGGCCAGGGTTTGTACCCACAGGACCCCCTAAAGGCAGCAGCACCCATTTCTTCAAGATTTGCCAAATTTAGAGATGCTCTGCGCTGAGGGAGGGAGCCTGGAGTCTATCAGCCCCGGCACTGGCACCCACCCCGGGGTGCAGCCGGCATCACGCCTCCCATGGGTGGGAGCATCCTCGGGGCAAAAGCCTCGGGGAGGTTTTGCTCATCCGACCGCGCATGGGTTTCATGTTTATTCTGGGCTGAACGCGTCGGAGGGGCCCGGAGGTATCCAGGCAACTGGCAGATTAGCCATCACGTCCCTGCGTCGCACAGCATGGCTGCTGAAAGCAAATTACACATCTATAATTGATGTAGTACAGCTACTTACAGCTTATCTCCCTCCTCGGCTCAGCTCTGCTGCCGCCGCCTTGTTCCCAGGTAGTTTGGGTTGTGCTTTGCAGGGGCTGGGGGTGCAGGGGGGGCTGAGCGTGATGCTGGGCTCAGCCCCAATACTCCGTGCAGGAGCACAAGGGATGGTGGTCCCCTCTCTGGACCCCTCCGTGGCATCACTGCAGCCCATCTGCCCCGAGCGCAGCTTTTTTTTTCCTCTTCTTAATTTATCGGGAGAGTTTAAACACTGTGGTCAGGGAGATTATAGCAATAAAAATAGGTTCTTGACCCCCACCCAGTACAAGCATAAAGTACGTTAACGCAGTATGCAGTTATTTAACGGGCTGTGCAATATCAGGCTGTTGCAGACCCCTGCGCTGAGCAGAGCTGAGCATGGCCAGGGAGGAGGCAGCCCCTGCTCCGTCCCCGTGCCCGCTACCCACCCTCTCATACATGAATTTCATGGGACTCATGACTTGGGAAAATAAATTATTTCCATCTGGGAGAGGGATGCAAATTCCACTTCAAGCCCCAGTTGCTTTTATCCGACTATTTTACAACCCGATATCCCCGCATCGTTCCCTTTCCCCAGCCCACTTTTATGATTTTTATTAACTCAGGCACCCGCTTGCTCTGTCCCGGCAGGGTTCAAGGGCGAGAGGGACCACTGGCGAAGCGGGAGGACGATTTGCATCAAGACTCACGAGAGTGGCCAGAAGGAGATCGAATCCTTTGATTCGGCCATCCTGCTCATCCGAAACCCCTACAAGGCCCTGATGGCAGAGTTCAACCGCAAATACGGGGGACACATCGGCTTCGCCGCTCACGCCCACTGGAAGGGCAAAGGTGGGCTGGTGGGCTCGGCCACCCCTGTCCCACTCTCACAGAACCCGGGTGGGCGAGCTCCAGCCTGGCTGCCGGAGCCATAAAGCTGTTGGTAAAGCGCAGCAGCGCCCGAGTCCGTTCCCCATGGGGGAAGTGTGGGCTGTGCCACCCCTTTGGGATCCCTGTGTTGGAGGGACGTCTGGGCTTGAAGCCAGCATGACCTGCGGCATCATCTGGCACGGCTGAGAGCTCCTGCATGGATGGGATGGGGTGGGATCTGTCTCTTATACAC